TTATTTTATGTGTATGAGTGTTATGCCTGCATGTAGGTAAGTGCACCTGTTGTTGTTATGTAAAGCTGGTTGGTATAGGGTTGAGGTTCTCTCAGGTTTAATTTGGAGGGAACTGATGTCTTCACAACTATTCAGGAGTACCCACTGAAGCCCAATTCAGGTTCCAGTCAGGTACACTCAGGCTTCCTTCACCACATGGAGGCAGGATCCAGGGGCTCTCAGGCAGTCCCCTGTGTTCTCAGCCCCTCTGTCAGAGAGAGGCCAGAGGAAGGCCAGATCTCAGCACTCTCTGGTGGTCTGCTGAGATCAGAGCCACTACACCAACGGAGGTGAGAACCCACCCTCTCAGTCTGCCCCCCCCCAATCATCTTAATGGCCTGATATTTTTCAATTTATCTTATTTATTATTCATTTTTTTTGGTCTTTTTGAGACAGCATCTTCCTGAGTCCCAGCTGTCCTGGCACTTACTATGTAGACCAGGCTGGCCTTACAGAGATCCACCTGTCTCTGGCTCCCCGGTGCCCTGGGATTAAAGTCATGTGCCACCACACCTGGCTTATTTTATAATTAAAAAAATTTTATTTTATTTTATGTGTATTGAGTGTTTTGCTTGTAAGTATGTAAAAGTACCATATGCCTGGTGCCCTTGGAGGCCAGAAGAGGGGGACTGGAACTGGAACTGGAATTGTGGGTGGTTGTTAGCTGTCATACAGATGCTGGGAACTGAACCCCAGGTCCTCTGCAAGAGGAACCAGTATTCTTCACCAGAGTCATCTCTCATCCCTGAAATTTTCAACTTATAATGGGTTTTGAGGACATGAACCCACAGTAAATTGAAAAACATCTGAGAGTCTTTGGTAGTCATGAACTGAGTCTGCGGCCAGCTGCAGCCGCCCCTCCACTCTTCTGGTGCTGGGTGCTGTCTTCCAGCGCCACTCCTCAGCTCATACCGGCGCCGCCTGCGGTCGCACGGGCATCGCCTTCTGGGCACTGCCCCTGATAGCAGGGTGCTGCCCTTTGGTCCTTGCTGCAGCCACAAGCTGTGGTCGTGCTGAGGCAGCTCTTCTGTTCTCCAGGTGCTGGGGCTGCTTTTCTGCTCGCTTCTCGCTGCCTCCCATAGTTGCTACTTCTGCCTGGTCCTGGACCCCAGGGCTGGTGAGAGGACTGTCAGTAGAGCTGCATTCAGACACGTAGAACAGGTTTGTTGCCGCAGATCTGGTTTATTGTAGAAGGGCACAAGCTTATATAGGGGTAGGGGTCCAATCAAGAAGTTACAACTTAGATCTTTGGCAGGGCTGTGTCCTATCATGACATCGGAGTCAGGCACCTCATTAGCATAATGTGTTTCAGGTTAGTTAGGTTCCAGTTTCCATATAGGGCCTGGTTTCCTGGGAAATCAGGGAATTTGGGAATCTCAAGGGTGGTGATTAGGGAGTGGTGAGCTCTAGGCATCAGTCTCATGATCTGCCAATGGGAGCAAATGTCACAAGGCATTTCTTGTGGCTCCAGCTGTCGGGCCATTGCCTTGGGCCTGCTGTATGGCTGTCATTAAGACTTTCACCCTAGGCTCAAGCCTATCTCCCACAATGAACCACTGAGTTTGTGCTGAAAGGTGAGGTGATTTAGAATGGGCCTGGTCCAAAAAAGACAAAGACATAGGAAGAGGGTCAGCCTAACCCTGGAAAAGGAGAGAGGGGCCAGAGATTAAGTTCTAATATGTGGCCAATGATTAATTATGCTTAAATATTGATATCTTAATAAAAAGTGGACTGTGATGCTCCTAGAACTTCCTGGTTGGTGAACAACTGATGTGCTAGAAGGTGATGCACATCCTAGAGAGAGTTGGGAGGCTCTTAATTGAAGACTCCCTCAGACTTTATCCTATATGTCTTTTCATTTAGATCTCCCTGATTTGTATTACTTATTAAAATTGTAAGCATAATACTTTCTTGAGTTCTATGAGTCATTTTAGGAAATTATCAAAACCGAGGGGCATTGTAGGAACTTCTCAGATTAGTAGCCAGTTGATCAGTGTCTTAGGGACCCTTCTTGTAATTGACATCTAGACTGTGATGGTCTTGTTGCAGGCCTTCCCCCTAAACTTGTGGGGTCTGATGCTAATTTGGGGCATTAGTGTTGGTACTGAATGCAGTACAAGTTGGTTTCACTGGGTGTTTTCCCCACTGTTGTCCTTTTTGTAGAACAAAACTTCTTTTCCCTTTTAAACTTCTTAGTAGCCTTCCTGCACTAGTTTCTTACTCCTTGGATTCAATTCAGTTTAGAGGGGCGTGTGTGTGTGTGTGTGTGTATGTGTGTGTGTGTGTGTGTGTGTGTGTGTGTATGTGTGTGTGTGTCTGGAGAGATGGCTCAGCTAGTAAAAGTTCATACTGGAGCCGGGTGTAGTGGTTCATGCCTTTAATCCCAGCACTTGGGAGGAAGAGGCAGGTGGATCTCTGTGAGTTCAAGGCCAGTCTGGTCTACATAGTGAGTTCCAGGACAGCTGGAGCTACAGGGAGAGCCTTTCTCAAAACAGCTGAAGAAAGAGTACATATTGCTCTTGTAGAGGATCCAGGTTTGGTCCCTAGCACCCATGTCAGATGGCTCACAACCACCTGTAACTCTAGACCCAGACCCAGACACATAGACAGACACGCACATAATTAAAAATAAATTTTTTGGGGGGCTGGAGAGATGGCTCAGCGGTTAAGAACACTGGTTGTTCTTGCACTCAGTGGTTGAGAGCACTGACTGCTCTTACAGAGGACCAGGTTCAGTTTTCTGCACTCACATGGTAGCTAACAACCAACTGTTAACTGTAGTTCCAGGGGGTCCGATGCCCTCTTCTTATCTCCTCAGGCATTGCTTGACATGCGTGCACTTACCCACATGCAGGCAATACATGCATACACATAGAATAAAAAAAATAATAATAAAATTAAAAAAAAAAAATAAATTTTTTTGGACTTTGTGAACCATGGTCTCTCTGTAGCCCCAGCTGTCCTGGAACTCACTGTGTAGACCAGGCTGGCCTTGAAATCATAGATATCTGCCTGCTCTGCCTCCTAAGTGCTGGGACTACAGGTATGTAACACCACACCTGGTGAAAAATAAAAATTTAAAACACAAAACATTTTAAATTTATTTTTAAATTTTATGTGTATGAGTGTTTCTGGCCTGCATGTAGGTAAGTGCACATGTGTTGTGCAATTCCTGAAGAGATATCAGGTACCTTGGAACTGGAGTTAAAGAAGGTTGTTAGCCACCATGTGGATGTTGGAAACTGAACCTGGGCTTAGGTCCTCTGCAAGAGCAGCCAGTGCTGAGTCATATTTCTAGCCCCTCCCCCTCCCCCCTTTGGTATTTTGAGACAGGGTCTCCCTGTAGCCATAGCTGGCCTAGAGCTCATTATATAGACCAGGCCAGCCTTGATTACACAGAGATCATCCTGCCTCTGCTGGGATTAAAGGCATGCACCACCATGCCCAGCTCTCTAAAAATCTTTTTTTTTTTTTTTAAAAAAAAACGCTTCTCCTAGGGCTGGGCGTGGTAGTGCACACCTTTAATCCCAGCACTTGGGAGGCAGAGGCAGGCAGATCTTTGTGAGTTCGAGGCCAGCCTGGTCTACATAGCAAGTTCCAGGACAACTGGGGCTACAGGGAGCCCTTGTTCCAAAAAAACCAAAAAAAAAAAAAAAAAATGCTTCTCCTTACCCTCAAGTAATAGTTACTGTTAATTGTCAACTTGCCAGGATCTAGAATCACCTGGGAGACAGGCCTTCAGGCACACCTGTGAAGGATTGTCTAGTTTGGGTTACTGTCTGGACAAACCGAGTATCTCGATTAGTTAATTGATGTGGGAAGACCTATCTTGACTGTGGGCCAGATTAGCCTCTGGGGAGGGGATCCTGGACAGTATAAAATGGAGAGAGCAAGCTGAGCACTGGCACGAATGCATTTTCCTCTTTTCTTCTGACTGTGGATCAATGTGACCAACTGCTTCATACTCCTGCTGCCTCAACTCCCCCACCACAATAGACAGTATCTTGAACTGTAAGCCAAAACAAATCCTTTCTCCTTTAAGTTACTGTTTGTTGGAGCATTTTATCACAGCAACAGAAAAAAAATGGAGACATTCCACCTCTTCCCTATAGTTTTGAAACTTGTGGGAGTTGGAGGAATTGGAAAGATGGGAGCATAGTCCTTCATATTCTCTGAGCATAATCATATGAGAAGGGCAAGGCTGGAGAAAGTCACCTCTCCGATTCCCCAAGATCTGCTTAGACCCACCACAGTGCCTACATGTCTGTTATCTGAGTGCCACTCCTCCCTTGGATGAGCAAAACTAACAGAAAGTTCTTTGGAAACAGATCTAGTTCTTCTGTCTCACATTTCTGGACTCACCCTCTGGGCCAGCAGTACTCTCAGGTCTGTTGACCTATTTTTCTATGCTTTATAGGTGTTGGGAATATCAAGAGAGGAATATGGCCCCAAACACCCTTTTCTACCAGGCCCTCTGTCTTACTTTTCTGTTGCTGTGATAAAACACTGTGATTCTTTTATAGGGAACTTATAAAAGGAAGAGTTTATTTGAGCTTATGGTCCCAGAGGAATAAGAGTTCATTATGGTGGGGAGGTATAGTGGCAAGAGGTGGCTGGAGCAGAAAGAGGAGTGCTCACATCTTCAAGCAGGCACAGGAAGCAGAAAGCAACTGGAAATCCTGAAAACCTTAAGAACTTTCAAAACCCACCCTGCCAGTGACGTGCTTCCTTCAGCATGGCCACACCTCCTACAGCCTCCAAAAACAGTGCCACCAACTGGTGACAAAATGTCCAAATACTTAGAGCCTATGGGGGCATTCTCATTCAAACACATTCCACTCCCTGATCTTCATAGACTCACAGCCATATAAAATGCATTTAGTCAGGGCTGGAGAGATGGCTCAGTGGTTAAGAGCACTGACTGCTCTTGCACAGGACCCAGGTTTGATTCCCAGCATCCACATGGCAGCTACGAACCATCCTTAACTCCAGTTCCAGGGAAATCCGAAGCCCTCTTCTGACCTCTGTGGCATTGCATGACACGGATGCACTCACATACATGCAGGCAATACACTCATACACATAAAAAAATAAAAAAAATGCATTTAGTCCAACCTTAAAAGTCCCCATAGTCTTTAAAAATTTTTTTATTTACTATTTTTATTTTATGTGTATGAGCATATTGCCTGTATATATGTAAGTGTACCCATGGTGTGCAGTGCCCATGGCAGTCAGAAGAGGGCATTGGATTCCCCTGGAAGTGGAGTTATGGACGGTTGTTAGCCACCATGTGGATTCTGGGAATTAAACCTGGGTCCCTCTGCAAGAGCAGCCAGTGCTCTTAACCACTGAACCATCTCTCCAATCCCATGAAAACCATATAGCCTTTAACAGTCTCAATACTGTCCAAAAGTCCAGAGTGAAATGTCTCTTCTGAGACTCAAGGCAATCTCTTAATTGTAAGCCCCTGTAAAAATCAAAAGACAAATTACACACTTCCAACATTCAATGGGAGTGAATACACATCCGCATTCCAAAGGGAGGAATGGAGGCATAGTGAGGAAATACTGGACCAAAACAAAATAAAAATACCAGCAGGGCCAAATCCAGTGGCTCCATGTCTGACTTCAAGGACTCTACTTCCAAAGAGCTTAGATGGCTCAGCCCCACCAGCTTTGCTGCGTGCAACATACATCTCTCTCTTGGGCTGGTACCACTCCCTGTGTGCAACTCTTCTTGGCAGATGTCTTATAACTCTGGTATCTTGAACATCTTCTTGGGGTCTCCACTGCCACCTTCACATCTTCACACAATGGCCTATCAGGGCCTCCTGGCATGTCAGGACCTTCTTTATGCAGGGACGCCCCTGCTGTACACTGTCTGGCCTTGGCAGCTCTCTGAAACTGTAGAGGAAGTACCAATGACCCTTTCACTCTTGCATTTTTTATGCCTCTAAGGCCAGCACTATGTGAACAATACAGCCAAGTTTGGTTGCCAGCCTGGGATTGACCCTGGAACATTTCATCCGTATTTGCAACTTTTTTGGGTTCCAATTTTCTTTGAGAAAATGTTTTAGGCTTTTTCCTTTCACAAGTTGTAGG